TCCTCTATCTCCAAACTGGTCCACTGTGGGATAAGTTGTGAAAGTGAGAGAATGCATTTAGAAATATTTTGTGTGGCAACTAGAAACTTCTTGGTCATTTTTATTATATTTTATAAAAGATTCAGTTTGCAACAGACTGGTGGAAAAAAACTTCTTTCATCATACATAGTGTAAGAGTCAATGTTTAAAAAAAAAATGGTGAGAAATATTTTGACTGCAAAGCCAGGGAAAAAGATTTGGGGATACAGGCAAAGATCACCTCCAATCTCTGGAAGAGGCACTTTCCAAGACACCCAGAAATAAAAGGGGAAGTGAAAGCAATGGCTGGATGCTTGATCTTGATAATGCTCACAGTTGGGGAAGAATGCTCAGGAGTGAGAGCCATAATGGCATGGCTGACATGTCCTCTGACATGAGGGAAACTGTTCTGTTACACATTATGTAATATATGAAAATAGGAAGTTGCAAGCATAAGGGAGTTACAATTACCTATGGGAATGTAGAGGCCAAACCACAGAAAACTCTCAGAAGATCTATTATCTCTTACAAGTAATGCTTCTCCTGGAGTGAGTACCCGGGGATGGGAGCATACAAACAGCACACAAGGCTGACATGCAGAGTTCCTGAGAACAGCTGCACACCTGAACCCATGGTTCTCATGAGGGTTCCTCTACAACCATAGCTCCTGCGGTACGTGACAGTGTTTCAGTGATGGAATCACACAACAGGGCACCTCTCCTTGAAGGGAAAGAAAGTCAGTTTTCCTTGATGGTATGCAATTAAATTTGTCATTTAATGTATTTAATTAAAATGATAATAAATGTTTTTAAATGAAAATGTTTTGAAGACTTTTTTTGCTTGACGACAGGCTTCTTTGGCTAGGATCCTCCTTTCCTGCTGACTTTTACCTTTCTTTCCTGTCCTTATTCCTCCTCCCCCATCCAAAAGTACAGCCCTTCACAATTACATTGACTTTAATGAAAATGTCTGAAGACTCTGACGGCCAATGATGTGAAGAAATGAGGAGTAGGTGAGCTGAAACTGGGGTACAAACTGCTGTACCTCACAACACTGGTCTGTGGCTCTGGGAAAAAAATGAAGTCTACACTGCGACTGCCCTCAGACTGGTGTGAAGTTAATAATCATGATTACATTCAGTTTTCTCAACTTAAAGATTACCTTGTTAGCTTCAGAGTACAATGGGGCCTGCATGGGTGGAGGTTGGTGTGGCCTTGGACAAAACATTGATAGGAGAAATTGAAGATGACACCCAAAGCAATCTACAGAGTCAGTGTAATCCCTATCCAAATTCCAATGTCATTCCTCAGAGAAACAGAAAGGATACTCCTGAAATTTGTATGGAACCACAAAAGAACCCAAATGGTCAAATAAATCTTGACTGAAATGATCATCACATTATGTTTGGAAGTATCATACTACAGGATTTCAAACTATATTACAAAGATATAGTAATCAAAAAAGCATGGTACTGGCATAAAAACAGACACATCAATGAATGGAATAGGACAGAAAGCCCAGAAATAAACACACACACCTACCATCTATTCCTTTTCAATAAAGATGGCAAGAACACACAACAGGAAAAGATAGT